TGACGAGTTAATGGCAAGTTCAATTGAGCTCAATTATAGTTAATCTCCCTCGAAGTCAGGCACAAATACCTCAAAATACAAAGGTTTTAAAATGGGCAGTACTATTGGGTGGAAAACATAACGTTGTAAATATTGCATTAAAATAACGTGTTTGAGGAGTGCTTGTTATGCTCTAGAAACACAATGCTTACTTGATGCTTTTTCTTTTCTTTGTGTTGCCACATTTATGAGCTACGATCCTTTTCTCCCAAAATGTCCTTGTTTTCTTTGGCAAAATGTAAGATGAAGAATCTGTGCAACCTTCTGCAACTGTCTGTTGGTTGAAGTAAGTCGGTCCAATACAGACAACGTTAAGACAATGTTCCTCAGTTGAGCTCTTTAAGTCTCCCCCTTTCATCCTCGCCTTTCCCTTTCTATGTCTTCACGTTGGCTTCTTCTCCCACTCCCCCGTCTGTTGTGACATGCTAGGCATGTTAAACTGGTTCTATGATTATCATAGCGGTTCATTTACGGTTGCAGCTATGGGAAGGTTTCTTGGGGACATACTTCCTATAGCTGGTGAGTAATGGTGTGTTAGAGCCCCTAAGACCAACGTATACCTCTTTTAACCACTCCCAACTTGTAACTCACACTAAGAGGTGTGCGCTCTCATCTATCCATGAACATAAGAGTCCAAAATCAGGCAGGACAAAGCCTGAAAGATGGACACTGATTAAAACTGTTGAGGATCATTTGATTTGTTTCACCCTCTCTAAACAAGGAGGTGGACAAAGAGGTGGTAGTTTGTATGTCGGGCGTCAGGCCACATATGTTTGAACCTTTGGAATCAGAGAGAGCTGCTGATAATGTTGGAGATGTTGCTGCAAACTGACAACTCCCACACACACCTACACACCTCTGACCCACGTTGCTGCCTCTAGTTTTAGTTAGCTAGATGGAACAACTTTTGCTCTTTACTCTCCTTTCTGTTGACATATTTAACAGGACATTTGTACTTTTCTTTATGGCATTTAACTGATATCTTAGCAACAGTGACTCATGCTATTTAATGACGATAATTGATTGATAATTGAATTGATCATTTTGTTCTAAGATAAAAAAGACCGTTTGGACCGAAGACCAGGACGTCGTCAATCTTCCTAAACACAACATTCATTGGATATATCTGTCGAAGCACAAAAACGAAATGACCACCACTTAACGATTGTTCATATAATTATATCAACTGTTTCGTATCACTGTGTGGAGAGAGGAGAAGAGCCTACTTACAGCATAACACAAAATCTCACAACACAACAAAAGCTATTCATGAAACAGATTCCATCACCCAAAACATGGTCCGCAAGCAGAAACAGGTCTATCTGACAGATTTGGTGGATTGGATGGTCACACCCACTTCACAGGTGGCGGGATGAAAGCAACAGAAGCATGTGGGTGTAATTTAGAGTTGTTGCTCTGTGTACTGTAAGCATTTTCTATTGTATTCAAAGGGGGCAGTCTTGTACACTGGCCCCTTGCTTCATGTACAAGATAAAAGCACACACACCAGGTTAGCAGACACACTCATTGACGTAATTAAAATTCTTGATTCTAATCAGAGCTGGAGGTAATACTTGTGCATGCCCTAGAGAAAACTTGTTCATACAAAAACACAATTTGCACAAGATTATTCCCTTTTTATTTGGCGAGAAATTAAAAATGCTCAGCTCTGCCCTTGATGTGTCTCCTCTTGCTCAAGTTTCTGTGGAGCCTCAGTAATTAATTAACAGGGTGGTAAACATTCCCAATGACTGTGAACTATCCCATCATGTTGTTCTAAGCAGGTACAGTGAGAGAGAAAGCTCCGGAAAATCTTAAAGATTAATGACTGAACCGTGTGTGAACTTTATATTGATTTAAACCTGTCAAGTGTTAAAGTGTTTATACCTTGTACTGTGTGTGCTTCTGGAACAAACTTATAGATAATTCCTTCTGGGGTGCTCTTATGGAAATTGTGCATTCCTCAAGAGGGAAATCTGGCGTTTTGGGAAATTCACTTACAAGTATTTGCTTTCTTGCTGAGAGTTAGATGAGATGATTGACTCTTATGTTATATTAAGAGGCTGGTAATGATCGTCTCAGCAAACACCCTGTGAGAAAGCAAATTTGTGTATTTCCCAAAATGTCTATTAATATTAAGTCTATGGGAGTATTTAGGTACTGTAGTCGCCACGATGCAAACGATATTCAATAACTTAAAATGTAAGTAATGAAATAAGTGTGCGACTATACTTTACACTTGTGTTTGCACCGTGGTCAGCACCTCTCCAACACAGGTGTGCGTTCCCCCGCTCTCTCATCCAGTATTATACTGTCATGAGCTGTTATGCAGTACTTCTCTTCCAATGATACACTGTTAACCTTAAATTGCTTCGGACTTCCCAGCCTGTTCATAATGAAGGTATATTATCAAAAAAATAAGGTAATCACAGTGCTAGAATCTGTGCTAGGTTAAACAAGATGAGTTTTCAAAGGTGAGAAATGCGCATTTGGTTTACCAATGCACAATCTCAAGTATCTTTTCATTAATTAAACAGACCTTGTCATGGATTATTAAAAAAAACAACTTGCTGCACAGACTGAAAAGCACAGTGTTTAATGATTTACACTTGCTTCTCTGCCCAGCTGTACCTTGTGTGACATAGTTCAAACATTTTGACTGAGAGGCGACACTGACATGACACGAAATGATCGAACCTCTGCCTGGTGTGTATGTCTGTAAACAAATGTGGTGTACCAAAGCCTTAATGCAGCTGGTTCAAACCCTGATTTATCAGCCCATTGCTTGGGAAACTCAAGGTAAAGACGATGTTTGTAGTACCAACCTGCCAAAATTAAATTTGTTTGTATTTGTATCGTGTCCTGTATCTTTGTGACCCCTTTCACGTTGTCACATGGTTTTAAGTTTGTAATTTGATGCATTGTTGTAAAGATATAGATTAAGTATGCTTTAAAGTCGTTTTTGATTGTTTTTTAAATTTATTTTCCATGATTAAATTCTAAAATGGAAATAAATAAACCTCAAGCTATATTCACTCACACCGCTAAGGAATACATTAGATATTTTAACTATTATGTATTACTTTATTGACCCAATGTCACAAAACCACAACCTTTTCTCTGGAGCATGTTTGAGCATCGTCAGACCCCATGGTGCCCACTGCCCTCGTCTCACCTGATATGACACTTCAAGCAGCATTTACATCACTGATTACACCCTCTTATTATATTCCCATTACGCTGCATTAAGAGCTTCAGAGCAGCACAATGGTTCTTACGTCTTGCCAAGTACGGGCTGGTACAGTGAGGCACACACCCAAACACACTCAGATACTGTCACCGACTCTCTATCACACAACCTTTCTTCAACTCTTTTCATTTATCCCCTGATATGTCTTTTGTTCAATACCTGATATGAACCCCAGCTCCTGTTTGGCACAGGCAAAGACCCACCCACTGGCTCAACCCTGCTTTATACTACAACAACCTCTTCCTCAATTTCTTCTACTACCCTGTTTGAAATCTCAGTGCAGTCGTCCAGCTGCACATCAGCCTCAGTTTGACTGATTTATTAGCAGTTCCTGTGCTTCTAGCTTCTTGCTCCTGGCTTGGCTATACCCCAGCTCTCCAACCTCGTCTCTGGCTCCGTACCTTCAGCCTTACCAGAAGTCCGACCTATGTCCTCCAGCCCCATTACCAAGGCTCAGCTCTGCCTATCCCCAGCCATAACCATTTCAGGTTTTTAGGCTTGGCCCAGTGAGCGTGAGTGTGCGTCACTCCCCTCCCCTAAGCACAGGTGGACTTGCAGGGAAGGCTGCCAAATACTTTTGGTTTAGAGGGAGGGAGGGAGGGGTGTTGGCTGAGGTTGGTGGGCGTAGCAGTTTTTGTTTTGTTGTGTTTCTTAGATAACCGTTTCATGGAACGGTACCTTTTCACTCCTCCAAATCACTGACACACCTTCAGAGCAAATTTGAGTCTCTATCTCGCCTGCTCTCACTTTCATAAGTCTGCCAGTGCTGAGATAGTGCTGAGTTTCCTGACAGCAACTGAGTGCGCTAGAGAGGAACTGAAACCAAAACTTCTCTTCTTAAAAGGTCAGTAACATCTTACTGTCTCTTTTGCTCTCCTTTCTTTTTGGGTTTTTTTCACTTACATGTACTACTATTTCGCACATCCTAAAAAAGTCATAATGAGAGGTTCATATTTTCTGTGTGTTGTGGCAAAACTTTTAAAGCGTGCAAGAGCTGTCGGCTACCCACTGAGCACCAGAATCAGACTAAAGGATGGCTGACCTTTTGTAGAATCAGGTTCCCCCGTGTACTCACTTTAAGGTGCAAATCGCTCCACGTCTCAAACTTTTTATAATAGGACACGCAGTAAAAAATAAAAAATAAAAGGGATAACCAGCTATTCTCCGTGCTGTACAGAAACTTTCCTGCGTGTGTGTGTTTCTTGCAACAGATGTGCTCACAATGAAAGCCTCCCCTTTCACATAACAGCACACACTGAGGAGGAAGCAAGTGAAAGCATGACAAAGCTGGAACAGATTGAAAGACTGCTATCTATTTATTATTCATTTTTTTACTTTTACTTGTTATGACAGCAGCAGCTTGTATAACTGCACGATGAATGAATGATTCTGCACGATGATTTGTTTCTCCAAATTTTTCTTTGTCCTCCGCACAAGTCTGTCGTCAAGAATCTGCCTGAGTGGTTGTAAGTCAACATGAAACTGTGTCACATCTCCTAATTAATTGACATAGCGGAGATAAACTATCTGACATCTGCCCTCTGTGGATCCATCTCGAGATTCACTTTCATTCTCAGAGAAAAACATGTATAGGAGTCAGTTTCTCACACATGTGAGGGCAGAGGTGTGACATTCAAGATTATCTCACTCTTCCGGTCTGTGACCCCCCCCCCCCATGAAATAGCATGAGCAACTGTTGACCTTTAGCAGTATTATTAAAGGGTGATGATGTGCCATACTGGCTGATCTATCAGATAAAAGTATTACATTGTTTGAAGCTGAGAAACTATAATTTAATGATTCATAGAATTATCCGAATTAGTTACGTGTCAAGCGACCTCCATGTTCCTGTTAGTGAGAATGGCATTTCTTTGGGACTTTAGTAGTCTACTGCCGATGACTACACATTTAAACTTTTATATAAACTAATTGCAGTTATTCACAAATGCTATCAGTTCCTAGTTGTGCTGTAAAAACAGTTCAAATGTAATTAACACAGCTTCTTCTCAGCAGGTGAACCACATTACTGACGAGTTGGTTCATACAGGCACACATGATGGATAATTCAATAAAAGAAACTACCCTATAGAGACCAATGTATAGCTGTGAGGTAACAACACTGAATGTTCCCTCTAAAAAACTTTAAAGGAGCATGTATAGAACAGACATGCTTCAGCCTGAAACCCTTATCAGCCTTCATCATTAATGAAAAGAACAAACAAAGGCAGAACCTATAGAGCTCTCTTCCTGTCACAGCGGCGGTTAGATGGGGATAAAGTCTAGTAGACATTACCACCTACTCTCGTCACACACCCTGGCTAAAAACCTCTGTCTCAACTGAACCTGATCCTGTCAGGTCTTTTGTTACATCGGTATGTTTAAACATTACCTGAGGCACATTTCATTCATGTTTGCACAATCTCACCTGTAGCATACTGTATACGATGAGCCAATATTCAATGTAAAGGAACTGAACTTGAATTTAAACAAAAGTGCATTCTATAGGGTAAATGTGTGCGAGAGCGCAAACATACTTGATTGAGGAACCTAAAGAGCCGCGGATGAACGTGTCAAATGAATGAAGACGCAGCTTCATAATTGCAAAAACGTTGCAATGTGTTCATTATGAGACTGACAGAGTGAATGAGTCCACACGCCTTCTTCCCACCTGACAGCGTGTGGGCATGCCCATGTAACAGCATTTACACGGGCATGCACAGTCTCACTTTAACCTCCTTTGACACTGATGTCCTCTTGCCATAGTCGTCTTAAATCAGTGTTTTCAAACCCTGTTCGCACAGCTAAGACATAATCTTATCTATGCCAAGAAAAATCCAATCAGCTACCCGCTGGAGTTCAGGTTGATGCACGCTTGTGAGTTTGTATGTACACAATGGCCGAGTAGCTGTTTGTCCGTGCATGTGTGCGTGTCCGCCCTCCTCCGTAGGACGGCGATCCAGGTTTTGTTGTGTGTGTGTGTGTGTGTGTGCGTGGAGTTGGGCTGGGTGAGTAAGCCGCCCCTCACAGATGAATAGAGGATGGGAGGAGGCTTGAAGAGGCTGCCGTGGGTGGGAGGCCCAAGCCCTGCCAAAAAAGCTCCTTCTGTGGGATTTGTGTACTTTTGAGTTCCTCACGAAACACAGCGCTTGGCTCAAACGACAAAGCGAGCCAGGGAGGCAGGCACTCGTACTCCCAGAGGTCGGCTCGATCGAACCCTCTCTGCTTTTCATGCTATATTCTTTCTTTCCGTTTACAATTTCTCCATTTCCACCATTCTCCTCTTTTTTTTCGCTCCCTCTGTCCCTGCTGCTGCTTTTCATCACATTTGTCTTTAATAAAGTGATTATGTTCACATACCTTAACAGCTGGCAGCAACAATTTGCCCCCAAACCAGCTCTTTAGCAGTTCGGAGAAACTACAGTAAGCCTTTTGTAAAAAATAGAAATGTGTTTATATTATTATTGATATGTATTCAAATACCGTCAAGAATGTGTTATTTGCATCAGTATGTAACATTAATTATAAGGTGTATTTTTTATTTAAACTTAATTGCAACACATCAGCAGCTGCTGAGACTGAATACCTTCATGAAATACCTTTAACTTTTTATTTAATATGAATTACTCATAATGCTATACCCCTTGTACTAGCATTATCTTTCCCTAATGTTTTTTGTTTTCCCCACCAGGATCAATATCAATTATCTGTCACACGTTTCGCGTGTGACAGATAATGTGACAGATAATGTGACAGATTGTGTCGCGGCCACAATCTGCATTGTGCTTGTGCAACGAAGCATTTCACACACAAAATTGTGGGTGTTTCCTGAATGTTACCTAGATAATAGAAAATAGGCCTCTGTAACCACTGGCAACCCACCTAAGCCTCAGCCGAGTGACAAGTGCAAAGAGACATCACTCTGAGTTTAGCAATCTCTAAATTAAAACTGTACTTTGTAGAACAGGTCTGCAGGAAACAGAGAGTTGATTGTCATTCAGCATTAGGGTGTTGGGTGAAGAAAAGAAGACAGGAAGAAAAAAAAGAAGAGCATGATTTCATAATGTCTAAAAGAAAGATCTGGGTTGAATAAGTGGGTCCACCCACCTGTGTGTGAGAGGCAGCGAGAGAGAAAGCGGGGCTGGATGGTAGTTTTAGAGACATGAGTGTGTGGGTTAGGCTAGCTGGCCTGCTTATGCTATCTAATCACTGGGAGAGAAAGCAGAGCAGCATGCCTTGATCCACCCACCCACCCCAGACAAACAGCAGTTAGCCTGCTAAGTACTATATGTGGTGCCCTGCAGCTCAGGGCTGTACATGGGGGGGGGGGGGGAAACAGAGAATGAAATGTGACAGACTCGGTATAGGTAACAGACATTCAGCACAATTATGTCTCATTCTGTGCTGGGGAGGAAGAGAGATGTGTCAATCTGGAAGCCACTATGGGTCACGACTGTGACCCATGTGAGAGTGTGTGTGTGTGTGTGTGTGTGAGCGTGAGTGTGAGGCATGCTTGGTGTGTGTCACTGGTGAATGTGTTGGCCATACTCCAGCAGGTTTCAGGTATAAAACTAAAGAGAGCTCATTGACTGATTTTTAACCCAAATGGATATATTTGTTTTAACCCAAGGCTAAGCACTGGAAATAAGTAATGGATTCACTCGTGAAACTCCAATATGCACCCGTCAGGTAACAAAAACAATCACACATGTCAAAGTCTTCTTTGTCTCGGATTATCAGCGGCCCTAGTAACATGAATTATGTTACTGCTGAGTTGATTTCACGGCTTCTCTTTTGTCATGTGGGTCAGACACAGACTAGTTACCGGTGTGATACCTGAGTGGGTGGGATGAGATTGGGTGCGAGTCCAAAAATAGCTGACCTACGCATCACACTATTGTATTTTTGAGTGTGCATGTGGTCGAATGTGGTCCGCCACGCTATGCATGTGTGTGTGTGTGTATGTGTGTGTGTGCCATGACAGGCATCTGTCTCCCCTGCCCTGCAGCCTGACTGGTTTTAATTAGGAGGTGCCAGAGTGCCCGAGGGCTCTCCTGCTGACACACACACATACACATGCGCGCACACACACAAACAGGCCTACACACACACACACACACCTGAGGGCAGACAGAGGCTGTCCCGCCAAGGCCGGCCTCCTTCTCGTTATCACCACAAGGAGTTGTCCTCGTTCACCCCACGACCCTCCCAACACGCACACACACACACACACACACACAAATATTCACACCAAGCAAATCAAACAAACACAATACAGAAATTCTGAAGCGACAACGTGGAAGTGGTGGCTCGGAGGTTTGACAACTCGTAGATTTTGTTTGCATTTCCATATCATAAAATCTCCCTTAAACATAAAGAATAATTATATTTGTCTCCCACATACATTCAAGCTACCCTCACCCACAGCAGTGAGTTAATTACGGCCACCTGCAAAACACTGTAACTCCATGCAGCTTGTGTACTTAACCTCCCTTCAAGCTTCCGATACTGATTAAGGTGTTTGAAAAAGAAAAAAGACAAAACAGGGGGAAAGTTAAAGCACAAACGGACAGGTCAGCAGAAGGGAAACGCCCTCACCTCACTCACCCGAGTGGCATGCTCCAAGGTGAGTTCTAATGACCTGACAGATAGGTGTGCGTCTCTGTGATTGAGCGAGGCAGAGCGGTACGGTAGGTTTAACACATGCCTGCCTAACCTTTGTGTTACATTGCGTCTGTGTGTGTGTGTGTGTGTGTGTGTCCTTGGACTGGAGACAGGGGGTGTAGCCCTGGGAGGCTGCTGCTATGCTCTATCTCTGGACTGTTGGGGGATGATTGCCTCCCTTTCCTGCTTCTCTCCCACACCAAGCCACACCTGGGCTCCGACCCACCAGGGTAAAGGGCCTAAGTCGGGCATTTCTTTTGTGCTTATCTGTCGCTACAGTTATTAATTCAGGGAAGGTCTGATAACCATGAACTCTGTTTCCACGTTATTTTGCCATCTACACATTGCCAAATTATTTTAAACCGATTGTGAACTTCTCTCTCAAGCTCCTTTTTTCACACAACTACTTCTGCCACTTCTGATGTGTACAAGCTAGTGGAACCATATGAATGCCTTCCAAGAGACACGGTGTAAAAATGTGGCACTAGAGGGCTCTGTCACTTGCGTGAAACGAAACGACTGATTTTACCTCTTTTTTTGTTCAATGACAAATAATATTAACAGCATTAAGTGATCACACTAAGGGCTAGTACAGGTCTTAATATTCAAGGAACCAAATTCATAATGACAACAAGCCTGTGTGTGAGACTTTTGTTTTACTGAAACACGCAAATTAGTGCTCTATGGTATGTGACTGCATTGCTACTACATTAAGGTCTGAGTTGTTAGTTTTCAGAGAGAAATCTTACTGCTTATGATATTGTACAGCATCAAAGTCACCACGATATCAACTTCATGTAATGATGCTTCACACACCCACCCACCCCCCTGCAAAGTGCCAATCTGGTGCCCTGGTACATGTATCGTGCTGGGCGCAGCAGGTGGCAGTAAACAGGTATGTTGAGACGCCAGACAGACAAACAAAACAGATGACTCTTACTCAGCCCCCTTGAGTCCTTTCTTGTTTTGTGACTTTTAGCACAAAGACTGAGCGACGAGACTCACCACATGTTGGTGAAGCCTAACACTCGCGGAGGACAGAGGGCGGAAAGGCACCGTCATTTAGCCTGATGATTATATACCAAAGAAATATAAAATGCAGAAGCACCAACATAATTTTTCTTGTTCATTCGACAGTAATATAATTCATTTCATGCTTGTATTATATCCGCCATGCTATACTGTGTGCACATTGCAAGTGGGCTGAAACACCTAAGAGCTGCAAAGCAAAAGAAAGTGTATTTTACATGTCACACGTCTGCCCAAGTTTGCAGAGTTTAGAACAAAGCAGTCCACACAGGTACCACTTACAGTGTGCTGCTATGACGGCAGTGACGCGTTTAGAATAGATAGCCGATCTTATACGATGGCAAATGTTGTTTTTCTGGCCGTCTGGCGGGCCTGCTAGCAGTTAGTGGCTAACCCTGTTTATATATACTAGATGCCAATGTGAGCTGGCCTCAGCTCTCACCCGGGACAAAACAGTGTAAACCACCAGGGCATGGGCTGTGGTTTGCTTTAGTCCATGTTTTCCCCAAAGGGAAGTGGGCATAGCAGTCTGATGTCCCCTATGATGTCTACTTGTTTGTGGAGGTTAACTCAACACAATTTGACTGCTTTCACAGTCTGATTGTCAGTTATGATTCGGATGATTTGGTTAGAAATATTTTAGTAGATTTGAAGATCGTGTAACCACTAAGATAACAATCCTGCATTTCCTCACTTTATGAAGAAGAGGATGTTCTTAATTGTATGTTAGATAATCAAATTTACTTATCATCTGTACCACTGTTTTGTTTTTAGGTCTGTCGGACAAAACATAGTCCTCCTTAAGTGTAAAATAAACGCAAGCCACAACCTCCGGTTCTGAAAAATGAAGCCAACAAGGAAGGGCCAAAAACTGCAGTTTTTTTAAATGGCTTCATGAGGCTCTCTCCAAAATTGAGTCAATGTTTACAGCCTTTTACAAAAAACTATTTTGGTCTTTATTGCTTATTTCCCCCTTATTGACGACACTACGAGGGGTGAATTATTATTCAACTCACCAGTTAAAATTAGGCATAATTGAGGGCGTGGACGCTTTGAGCGACAGGTGGGTGTCGTCTCAGGTCAGGAACTGCTAACTGCGATAGCTGTCTCCTCTACTGCCTCAGCGCCACTGACAATCCGCCTCTTTGGATTAGCCGGGAGTTAGGTTGTGTCATCACTTCCAAGATGGAAGACCACAGAGACTACTTGCGTATTTTATAAAGTCTATGCCCAAGCGGTGAAGCCCTCCTGCTGTAAGCAAACTTAATTGAAAAAAGAATAATACAATAATACAAAGGGGCGTGGCTTAATGATGTCATACAGGAAAGCCCAATGGCTTTTTCAGATCCTGTGAATGTGCTATGTCATAACATGTGTCCTGTCTGTGGAAGCAAAGGAAAAGCTTTTTCTCTCTTTCTTGCTGTGTCATAAAACACACACACACACACACACACACACACACACACACACACACACAATATAACACGACCTAAGGAAGCAGTATTGTAAGCCATGCTCTGTGCCATTACGTTTTGTTTCCATGAACTTGTAACAGCAAACTCACATTTTCGTGACGTTTAATATTTACCCAATCACCTGCTAAACAGGCTCCCTCTTCTAAACTGAACTGGCTTATTTCTATACCTTTCTGCATAAACGTCCTCCTCCTCCATGTAGAGGTGGTGGTCTGCTCACCAACTGTTACCGTGCTTCTTTGGCAATTTTCTGACTCAAAACAGGAATCTGGCGTTGGCTTTCTGTTCTCTTCAACCTGGTTTTTGAAACCTTGGTTTAAAAAAAAACAAGAAAACGTTTCTACAAAATGGAAAATAAAACTGCAAACAGGTTGTGGTATCTTTTTAGCGCTTGTGGTTCAATTCTGTCTCAGATATTGTCTGTGATAAATGTAGTAATATTTTCCCTCAAAATGAACACCATTGACTGAGTCAGCCACTTTTATAGGGTTCTGACTGCAGGGTGCCACATGCTAAAGTGTGTTAATGTGTTTTCAGTAATTAGTCTGTTGTGACTGAGTGTTTATGGGGGCTACACATACCCAGCGCGCACCTCGTTGTCTTTAACCCTCCATAGTCGGAACACATGCACAGAGGTCTCAAAGAGCCTGTTGTATGTTAGTTTGAGTAAGGCATTTAGTTTTGGGCGGAACCATATTTAAGAGGAAAGAGAGAATAGCAGGACTCTATTTTAAACAGGTGTTAAACTGAAACTAACTGGCTTTAAGTTGTAGCTTTCTCGGAGTGACTACTTTTAGTCCTGTATATCTCTTCATCTCAGCTTGAGACCAACCAAAAGAGGTGCACAAAATAGTTTCCCAACTTTTCTCTCTCTTTCTCCTTTCCTTTTTTTTAACCCTCCCTCAGTCTCCCCAAACAACCCCTTCGAGTTTCTTTGCCCCGGTCCCTTTATACCAAAAATCCACTCTTAACACAACTAAAAATTCATTTTGTCTGACCTAAATCAGAGGGTGTCTGCGCCATGGGCTTATTACACAGTGCGCTTAAACTTGTGTTGTGGAGGAGGATGGGGTATTATTATCTTCCAGCTACCCACCCTGCTATAAAAACTAGTGGTGCGACATCTCCACAGCGCAGTGCTGCTGCCCTCCCTCCCTTCCTCTCACTCTCTCGCTCGTCCTACATGAGCCACACACAACAGTGAGCCTGACTCTTTACTCCACACTAGCCACTCTGCTACACAGACAGACCCAAGAATCACACTGTTCTCCTCTGTTGCGCTGCTTTAGCTTCTCTTCATTGGATATTCCTCCTCGGGTGTTTTTTTTTTCTTTATGTATTTTTGTGAATGGGCATCCGTGGCCGGTGTGGGGAGCTGGTGAATGGACTGACCGCCTGGCTGACTGATTGACAGACTGGCAAAGAGAGAGGCAGCTGAGATTCAATTAAAAAGGGCAATGCTGAGAGGTCAAGCGAGGAGCAACAGAGCTTCTTCGTAGTCTGGAAATACAAAGACACGTGAGGGGAATCAAGAAACTGAAGGCACGGTAGGTGATGGGTGCTGAAAGCTGTGGAATGCTGGCGAACGTATCAAGACATGTGTGAATTTTGTGGAAGCCAGAGTTTTGGAGTATGCACATGGGTGTGTGTCTGTGCGTATATGTCCACAATAATTTGTCACATTGTTTCAGAGTCTGCGTGTGTGCGAACAAGCTTGCACTTGTGCATTATGTTTCAGTGAGCACACGTGCAGCACTTCGCGTCCATATTTAAAGAGTGTTGTAGCTCCAGATCATAAAGACCTGACAAGGTGCAAACAGGTCAATAAAGTCACTTAATGGCTCATGTAATCATTTAGGCTGGAGTGTAAATATTGTGCTGTAAAGTTCTGGAAATAGCATGAGCGTTTATAGCATCGCAGCACGTCTTTCAAACATAGTAGTTTAAGTGAGCTTAAGTATGTGTTTTGCCTCCAACAGTAATTATACATTGCACTTTTAGATATTCCCTATCTATACGACATTCTCCTTTAAATCCACAATATATACTCAGGTAGTTCATAAAGATGGAGGGGATGTTTGTGAGTGGGGACAAAATAAAAACATGTTATGGATTTGAGGGTGAGCTGTAAATTACTGTTTACAACAGACTTGTTGTTCGCCAGCTTATAAACCTCTTACCTCATGTAGTTGCAAAAGGCCATGACCAGTGTCACCATTACAATTGTTAACCAGTTTTGATTGGCATTCATGTATTAAGATTTGTTTGTTTTAGCTCACCAAATGCTCTATTGAAATTCTGAGCATGACAATTCTGAGCATGACAATTGTTGAAAATGGATGCAATTCACTGTAAGAGGGAAATAAAATACATGAAATTAAGCTGTATGTAAAAAACGTATATTGAGGGTTCTTCAGTTTGCATTGTGTCAGATACTGTAATATTTATAAAGTCACTTTAAAAGAGTACCTTAAGTTAGACACCTTCTTAGGCTCACAAAAGGCTCACAAAAGTCTTTCACAAACACAAAATAATTAATTATTAATCAATGTCAATTACAAGTTTGCTTGATCACATATTTTAGCTCTGATAATATCTCATTAGCAGTTTTTAACCTGCACCTGTCTGTGCTTAATAAAGACATATTGCTTTTTTTATTCACTTTTCTTTTTAATTTCAACAAGTTATGGTAATTCCTTTAAAAATACTAAAGTAAGAAATTGAAATGAAGGATACAAGGCATGACTATAAAACTGCAATAATATCCCTGATTTATATTTTAAAATATATATATATATATATATATATATAATATATTTTTGATTTTATATTGTACCATTCTCAAAGACTCAAAGATAATTTGGGGGTCTTCATTCAAACCCGAAACATAGGGTGAATCTGTCCTTTGGACAGCAAAAAGTCTAGAAGCAACATTCTTAATCACTGAACCGATATTCAGCAGCGAACCCTAAACTTTTGTTTACTTTGGGGCTGAGAGAGATAATGGTGTGTAGCTGAGGGCCCCCCTGAAGGCTCGAGAGATGACATTTAGTGCAAACAGGCTCTTTAAGGTGCAGAGAGAGTTGAATTGGCCTCAGGATCTCTTAAGAACAGACTCAGTGTTTTCTTCAAATATTTCATTTGATCACACTGATAATACATGCAACATTAGTATTAATTAAAGGCATAAATTGTAGATTATTTTCTGAAATAATAGCAGTGAAAAATTAAATCTAATAATGAATCTATTAGTACACCTGTTGACACATTTTAACAAGAATCTCTCTTAATTAAAGTGAGGTTTATGGTGACACATATTAGAAATGTATTGAACTAAATCTAATATCTAATATCTAATAAAAGTAATTCTGTACTTACATTAACAATATGTATGACAGCACAATCATTTCCTACAAGATTTGTTTTATAACAGCGTAAATGTGGAATACATATGCACCAAACTGTGCACCAAACTCTGTGTAAACTTCCCATAAATAAGTTTCAAGCGATCCTCAACTTTTAAGCAAAACTTGTGCAGTTAAATGCTCACTTTTGGCCCAGACATTTCATCATTATTGAGAAGATAAAAACACAACCCGGTTTGTGTAACTGGCATCATCTGCTGTTCACCTGCTCAAGTTGACAGCAATTAAGAATTTAAAATCTCCCCCCTATAGGCTCCAGACAATTGTCATTTAAAACTCCAACCAAGGAGGTGTCTCCTGGAGAAACAGGTGCACTGTTGTACTGGTGATAATGGACTAGCTTACACAGTAGGTCAAATCAATGTCTTCTACTAATAAGGGGTGGATTTGGGCTGTCAATACTATAAATTATTGTCCGTGCAATTGCCCATCTGTGACTGTTGTTCAGCAGGTGTTTGCTATGGGCGGTTGGTGACAGGAGTAAACTTTGGCTGCTGGTGATTTAGCATGTGGGTCAGGTGGATGCACTGGTCTGACAGGGATAAACTAGGCCTGGGTGTTGTAGCTTACAGGCCAAATGAGTGTCTGCCCGTGACAAGGGTTGAGATGGACATTAGCTGCTGATTTGTGGCCTGAGCGGTCAGGGCTGGGGACAAGTTCGAGTCATAATGATGATACAGCTGCAATAGGGACAGAGAGAGGAGGAGAAGGAGAGGAGGAAGAGGAGAATGATTAGGATGTGGTGGAGGTGGCGGTGGTGGTGGTGGTGGTGGTGGTGGTGGTGGTCAGATCCCGGAAAGCAGTTCTTGGGACAAAGACGACGCTGAATGGAGGTGACACATCATTTGGGGTGGGAGTGCTGAGTTGAAAGTGTTAGTGACTAAGTGAGTGAGAGGAGACGTGGCCGGTACCGGTACAGGCGGATAGAGAGAGACAGACAGAAAGGCAGGACTGTCCATTAGAGGTCAGTTTATTAATTGAGCTGATACTGAGGTATGAATACTTTTCACGCATGGAACTGAAATTCCTGTTAAGTCAATTAATTCTGTGATGCATGTGCGATAAACAGAGATAGGTGCTACAGCTGACGATTGCAGAAAAATATGATTTGGACTTTTGATTTATTCAGAAACCGTGTCCCCTAATGATGGCAGGTTGTTATAGTCAGACAATCATTAACTGAGTGAGTTTTTATCAGAAAGAAAAAGTGAGGTTGTCCTTCCTTGACTTTACTGGAAGAGTAAGATGGATGAGGAGCCAAATGACTTAAGCAGTAATTATCAGAGTCCTTTCACAAGGCGTCCCCACCCTGGCTGCTCTGTTGGCTGAACGGGGTGGGGTGGGTTTGGGGGGGGGGGAGGGTAAAAGGGTTAAGGCTGTTTGGCTGATGAAATGTCGCTCCAGGACCTTGTGGTGGGAAAGCTGTGCCCTCCTCCCCTCCCTGTCTATGTGGCACATCCTCCTTAGATCCTCTCCACATTGTAATTAGGGGCCGGCCGCTAAGAGCTAGCGCGAGCTAGTGGCAGGCAAACAGTGGGAACGGAGGGGAGTGGTGCTCGCTGGGGCACCAGGCGAACAAACAGCAACAGCAGCACGTGTCTCATAGTTCCAGGAGTGGGTGGGATGGGTCGAGAGCAAACGAATGACAGCGGGTTCGCCAAGCCCTCCCAGTCCGACTCTTTTTCTCTCCCTCTTATCCCCTCAGTGTTGTTCCAAGCTCTGCACTATTGTTTGCCTTGGCAGGCTGTTACAGGGAGGGGCCCCTCGGCTGGTGTTTGTGCAACCTGTTAGGGAACTTTTAGGGCCATCTGATCTCTCCCCTGCTCTCCCACTGGCGATTCTCTCACCTTCTACCCGGGCTATAACTTTTATGTATGTTGTGGTGTGAAATATAATAGAAAAAGGATATCGCTCTGTCTTTCTGGAGGCAACATTAATCTGCACAACAGATCAGTGAACAACGTTTTATAATGCGGCGCGCGTGACCTGAGCTTACAGCACAGGATTTGCACAACGCTGTGGTGGTTTGTATGAAACTTTATATGGATAGAATCCCATTTTCTGTTCATCGTTCATTATTTCTATTTCAAATATATAATTTCATCAGCTGGCAACTTTTCCCTGCTGCTCTTTTGTTCCAGTTTTCCCATCGGAGTAGTTTGCGGTAGCTCTATGCAGTAGGTCTGTGGTCCTATATCTTATACCACCACCCCCTCTGTAGACATTTTTAATTATGACCACACTGTATCAATGGCATGGACATAGCAACAGTTACCTAGCAACAAGATGGACAAGAATAAACTACATGTAAGATTGGTATCCAAGTTGTATACCTGCAGGTGAACGAAGGGATTTTCTGAAAAAGAGTTTTTTTTTCCCTCTCTGGTGTGATCACCTGAAGCACAAAAGCAAGTGTGTGTGAGAGTGTGTATGTGTGTCTGTGTATGTGTGGCTTCAGCCCTGGCCCATTTAAATCCAGTCAACAATGCAGCTGTGGTGAGCGGGCCCGCTTCAAAGTATTTATCTACACATGCCTCCAGTGACCACCAAGTGTGGAGTCTAAGTTTAAGCTCTATTCATAGATGTGAATGAATGAGCACCCTGCCAGGGGACGTTTTATCACCGTAGCTGTAAACAACAGCACAGTGAATCAACAGGTAGGAACTCAGGCAGCTGTGGAATGAAGGTTTTAAAGAAAAGTGTGCAGAGATTTTTGCGAGCGCATCGAAAACAATGTCGAGCTCTTAGTCACAGAGACGTAAATCAAATGAGAGGGGAGAGGATAGACTGCAAAAGTAAGCATTTTGACAGGATACAGTATCTAGAGTACAATCTGACCTCTTTTGACGTTCTCTTCATTTCTCACCACATCCCAATCGCATGCGGCATTGTTCAAATGAAGGTATTCGGCTGGCTTTGTGCTCGTATCTGGTAGAGACAGTCGAGAGGGATGAACGTCACACAATTTATCACAGAAACTCTCACGCACTTATCATCAAGTGTCGAACAGAAGCAGCAGCAAAAATGTTACTGCGAAAAAAAGTCCACTCTTGTTTAATGTGTCACCAAAGATGATGGGTTTCCCTAACTCACACAGTCGAAACACGTCCTGTACCAGAAATCGTGATAGCACATTCAAGAATAAATATTACAAGATGTGATGTTTGCTGAAAATGAGACATGCTTTATTTACCGCTTGTTGCCTTTGCTGCACAGATGGCACACAAACAAGCAAGCCTACAGTATATTTTAATAAAGCGAGACTGTCACTCATTGTTGTTAACAATATCAGCTTCGCTTAGGAGCCTCCATCTATTCAAGTATCGACACTTTCAAAAATTCCTTCATCTAATGAATGGATGCTGCTTGTCATCAGTGACAACGAGATGTGGATAACTTGACACTGCTATTGCACTCTTTAAATCAATGTTTTAGAATAATTAACTGCTTCATTATTTGCTTTAACATGCCCTCGTCACTGTCCCGTTGGCACTTCCTCCTCGAGAGAATCACTGCTGTAAAATCAAGTGCTGCTTCATCCCAAGATAACAAAATGTTTATGATACCGACTTGTCCATGTGGATTTTTATTGTGAAAATGACTGTGACCAATCATTACCTGGCAACAGGAAATCAAAGAGGACATGTTCAAATGAATCACTGTGTAACATTCTCCAGGTATTTTCAGTCAAACAAACACTCAATCAGCTGCACAATAAGTTACTTAAGTTTATTATTCAAACAAAGACGGTATCCTTGTGACATTTCTCCTTGTTAATTTGTTATATATTCAGGAATATCTCACTTAGGTCAAAGTCTCTTTCACAAGACAGACATGAGAACAAATTGTGCAACATGAACAAATATTTAAAAGCTTGATCGTATCATCTATATTAATGTTATTTTATATCTATACCACTGTCGTATTTTTTTGGGTGTGCAAAATTGCTTTTTTTTTATCATGGAAATGTGTTAAGAATATTTGTTGCGTGTGGCAGACTGAATGTTATTTTATCCAGACAGACTATAAAAAGTCTTGAAGGACTCTCGAAATACCTTCAAAACTGTTGTTAAATGACCTTCCAGGCTTTTGAAAGATTACCAGGGATTTATAACATCACATGAGACGCACAACACGAAAGACTATTAGTCAAATTAAAATAGTGTGGAGGCTTTGAGAGCAACAGAATTATGTCTTTTTCAGTGTGACCTTCTTATTTAAGTGTCACTAAACAGTGCATTGTTATTGCCTTCTATCTAGATAACAGCAGAGAGGAGAATGGTTCATCACAGAGAGGAGGACCGGATTGGGATCCCCTTCCCAAATCACAGCAGTGATGTCCTCTGCAGCCTCAATGAGCAGCGCCGTGACGGGCTGCTCTGCGATGTCGTCCTCATCGTCCGTGACCAGGAGTACCGCACCCACCGCTCCGTTCTGGCCGCCTGCAGTCAGTACTTCAAGAAGCTCTTCACAGTGGCCACCGCTGATGGTGATCATCATCACACGGCGGCCGTGTACGAAATCGAATTTGTGGCCCCGGAGCCCCTCACAGCCATCCTGGAGTTCGCCTACACATCCACTCTAACCGTGACGGCGTCCAACGTGAAAGAGATCCTGAACGCAGCTCAGATGCTGGAGATCCCCTGCATCATCAATGTTTGCCTGGAGATCATGGACAGCGGGGGTGGAGGCGGCGGCGGAGGCGAAGGAGGGAGAGCGGAGGAGGGAGAGGAGGAAGAGGAGGATGCAGAGGAAGACGAGGAGGAGGAGGAAGAAGAAGAAGAGGACGAGGAGGAGGACGAGGGGTCGAGGAAGGACGAGCAGGAGGACGAGGAGGACAATGTCAGCGAGAGGTCGCTGCAATCGTCGGAGAGCAGGGGGGAGCAGACGCCCCCGGGGACGGAGGACTCGCCGCCTCCTAGCACCTCCAAGTACCACCAGCAGTTTGACCTGCACAGAGAGTCCCAGTCTCCAGACACCATGAGAGGGAAACAGGTACTTCACTGGATAATTTATTTCTGTTATTTATCTTGTATTTTTATGGAAAAAAAAAAAATACTTTAGAATTCTAAAGTTCTAAAGGCTGATGATGCTGTCTTGTTTTGCAGGAGAGTATGGAGAGTCGGGCCTTGAAGGATTTCTCCATCGAATCTCTCCTCCAGGAGGGTCTCTACCCCCGTATGTCAACACTGGACAGGAGGGCCAACTTCTCTCCTCTCCTGCCAGGCTTCTACCCCTCCATGTGGGCTGCCGAGTTCCCAACCTTCCCCAAGCAGCTCCTAAACACAAACCACCACCAGCATCCCCACGCGGGGGCACCACAGCACACCAGGCTCCCCCACCCCTTCCCCATCTCCGCTCCGCTTGACGCCTCAAGGCCACTCAATCTGGCAGCGAAAAGAGGGATCATAAAGGAGGAGATTAAAGAGGAAATCCCGCTCAGTCTGCTCCACGGCGACTTCCTGAAGGAGTTCGTCAGCTCGGGCCTAGGCAGCACCATGAACACTGGGTCAGTGCCGTCAGAAGGTCACGCTCTGGGTCCGATAAAGGATGAGGCCGACTTCCGGTCATACCTGAGCTTCCTGAGCTCCGCTTCCCACCTGGGGGCGCTGTTCCCTCCCTGGCAGCTGGAGGAGGAGAGGAAGATGAAGCCTAAAGCGTCGCAGCAGTGTCCAATCTGCAACAAGGTCATCCAAGGAGCTGGGAAACTGCCGCGGCACATGAGGACACATACAGGGGAGAAACCGTACATGTGCACTATCTGTGAAGTTCGATTCACCAGGTATGTGAAGCAGCACTTCTCATCAGACCATCATCATTAGTTCTCTTTAAGTGTTCCACATTAACAGGCCACACAGAGATCCTCTTGAGATCTTCCGGTTCCTGTGTGCTTTGACTTCAAAGCACCGGGTTATGTAAATCCGCAGGGTTAACAGAAAAAGTACCCCTTTCTCTTTTGACTGAGGTTAATGTGTTTTCACCAAGTCTGAATATCAAAGAGCTCAAAGTGGAAAGCCCCCTCCGCTGGTTTCTTTGTATTAGTGATATGTCACTCACCAACATCCTCCCACTTTGGCATATTTTCCACCTTTAATGTTGTCAGTGGAGACAAATCATCTTTACCATTTTTAAATGTGCAAAAGAAGATCTAAAAAGGGCAAAGAAAAGCAATGTTGTAATCTACGTGTTAACCTTTCCCTCCACAACACACTGTACAAAAACATGTGGTTTTGTTCTTTTCTCAGACAAGACAAACTCAAGATCCACATGAGGAAGCACACCGGTGAGCGCCCCTACATCTGCCTCCACTGCAACTCCAAGTTTGTCCACAACTACGACCTGAAGAACCACCTGCGTATCCACACGGGCGTCCGTCCGTACCAGTGCGAGCACTGCTACAAAAGTTTCACGCGGTCCGACCACCTGCATCGACACATCAAGAGGCAGAGCTGCCGCATCTCCCGCCCCCGGCGAGGACGAAAACCAGCTGCTTGGCGGTCCACACCCACCAGCAACTTCCTGTGCCCACCTACTGCTGCCACCAACAACCGGTTTGAGGAGAACGGGTTAGGCCCCGCTTACCAGGGGGTCAAGGGTCACGGACTTGGGGAGATGCTCGGCAACAGGGGTCTCGGTTTTAAGAGCGGGGACGGCAGGGAGGACCGGCGAGCGGAGGGGAAGGGCGTCGCAGAGGGGGAGAAGGCAGCAGCAGGGAGGCAGAGGGGAGTGTTTGCCTTCGCCCTGGCTGGAGAAGAAGTGCTTACCCACTCTCCTTTTTATGCTGCGACCCCCGACCCCTGGACCATGAGACTGGAGCGCGCTCCACCCATCCCTGAGCCAGCCAAATGAACTGTGGTCCGTGGAAGAAAAAACAAAAAGACAAGAAAAAAAAGTCTCTTGAATCTCTGCGTCTGTTCTGCTCCAGGAAGTGAAAGCCCCTTTGTCAAAAAGTGAAAGTGAGATCAATTAACCTTTTGAAGGCTGCTGAGTCGCAGGAGTATAACAGACTTGTTTTCCTGATGGTCAGACACAGTCTAATTATATCATTTCAAAGATGTCACGTTAAGTAATTGTTTACAAAATATTTTGATAGCATTTAAAAGGAGGCAAACAGTTTGACACTGCTGATGAGGACAACCATCGGAATGCTGTTATATATATTATTTGCATTATTTATCTACAAGGTTGTCTAAAATGCTATTAATTCTAAAACATCTCAATTCTACAATGTCCTCTGAAGCAAGGCGCGATGAGGCTTTTATACTGAAAAGTATTCATGTGCAGTCAAATATAAGAATCAGAGCAGGACCTATTGCAATTGTTACAACGCTGAATTAGTGACTATGATGAATGTAAACTAAAAAATACATAACAAAAGGTTATTATAACGTTTCAGTCTCATAATGAAAGGGAAGTGAAGTAGACATAAATTAATAAAATACAGTTTAAATAAAATAAAAATAAGCCTTCATCTAAACAAATAACAGTGAGTTACATTTTGAATAGTTGTGTTTTAAGTGTTAAAAAAGGACCGGTGCTTTAAAAAAGAAAAAAAACATTAAAAAGGGTTTATTAGAGCAGGGCGTAGTCTGGCACATGTCCTGTAATGTTTGATCCTGATATTGTTATTTAATGATATTCCAAAACAAAGGGAACCCACTTGAAGTCTAATAAATCAGGACATTTGATAATGTGTTATTAGCCTTTCACTGCCTTGTTCTGGTTTAAGCTCCTCGTCTGCACTATTGTACATAGACACAAACTTTTTGGCCATGGTGTTGTTACTTACAGTTGCGTTGCTGATGTAAAAAAAAACATATATATATATATATTGATCTTTAAAAGGCATCCATCCAAAGATGTGTACTTTGATATTTCAAAGACTTGAATACGACTTTGTTTAAATGTTTATGGATATGTGTCTTCAGAGGATGTACATTTCTGACTAATCAACTGTCGCTTTAGCTATACAGTATGCTTGTGTTTTCTCTGCTGCAACAAATCAAGAGGGCTTCAGCCCCGTTTTTTCATATAATGTTCATCTCTGATTTGTGTATAAAGAAGTGATTTGAATTTGAATTGAAATGGGAAAGTATTTTCTTGCTATTTATGCATATTTAAATGAATGAGCCTTGGCTATATTTTGCAAATCTGTTTTATAAAGACACTAAATGTTGAACTTCGCTCTTCTTTCGGAGTATTTTTTTTCATAAAATGACCAAGTTGCATGCGTGTGAATGTCTGTATTGTCCCGGTTCTAAGCGGTCTCCCCGTGGTTATTGAGTAATGTTAACACAGTATTGAGTCAGTATTGAGTCAGTGCGATATGAAACCAAATTGGGTCAAATTTAACACAGTGATTTCTTTGATGTGTACATTTTTTTCTGAAACTTTTTGCATTTCGCATAAAGTTTGCTACTTCTGTAAAATGATTTAAATCAACTTTTAAGTAAAACTATTTGTTTTATTTTCATGGATCATATTTAGCACGGACCAATGCCACACACCACAGCATTTACACGCCTGGATGGGTCTTTAAAATATGCAAAACTCAACAAGAAAATACATACAAAACAGCACAAAACACAACCATTGATACAATAAATAAAATAAAACCCTGCATTACATTAAATCCCAACTACATGAATGATCCTTCTTTAAAAGCTGAGCCAAAACGATCTCAGTCATGATCCAATTTGATCTGTGGGTGAGGAGTTCCACATAATGAGGATTTAGGATTACCGGCCTCTTACCGGCCTCTTACCATCCCTTTAAAACCCTGAGAGGTACCAGCAGGTCACTGAGCACCTTGGGTGGTTATTTAGGCCTTTATGGATGAATATTAGCAAATTAAATCAACATATTTAGCTTCTAAACAACATATCAGTGTTGGGATCTTATTGACTTCCTTTTTTAATTGCATGATTATATATATCATCTTAAGAGGCGAGATTGTAGGAGACGCTTGTGAACAAGAAGTTACACAACAACTTAAATGTTAAAGTGAAGTAAAGCTGGTACACTACCTGCCACTCTGCTGTATTAGTTCACACCCACACAAAGAAGACCACAGATGCAGCTCGCTCCTCAGCTGGAGGCTAAGAGGTATTATTATTTCTTTACTGTAATGTTAGGTCGCACAACAGCTGACATCCCTGCTGAGGTCAACTCTGCATTTGTGCTACGAAGAGTATCTATGAAATTTGTCCTGAATAATAATGATAACACGTGGAGAGTGCTGATAAAATGATAAAATGTAATAATAACAATCAAATAAAATATAGCTAATCATCCAATCCACTCCCTCAGTGTCAATACGCAGCAAGTCAAAGGCAATGAGTCACTGTTAAAAGGTGAGCAAGGATGAAATGATTCACGCTAACAACAGCATACTGTATGTGAGCTATGTATGACTGATTACAGCAACAGTTATCTTCAAGAAGATTTGATTAAGTTATCGAATGACCAAGTTTAAGGATATTAGAACCAAACTAAATGGTAAAAACGGCAACACATACCTCATTTGTCAATGAGAGGTGTATTTATGGATCAATAAATCATTTAATAATGATGATGATTATACCGCGACCCGACGCCGGATAAGTGGAGGAAAATGGATTCATGGATGATGATTATTATGCTGCAGAGACTCTGATATCTTTGATATTTTTAGCTGTATTGATCAAAACGTTATAGTCAGATCAGTCCGGTTTTGTTGTTGACTGAGTTTATTGTTTGTCTTCTAAATACACCAGAAAAGCAAGTTGAAGAGCGTTTTTCTTCCCCCAACGTTTTGTTACAACACTTTTGTTTTCATGGCTTAAAAGTGCTAATTTCACCGGCTGTGCTTCATACTGAGCTCGTCCGTTTCTCTGCCCTGACCTCTAGTGGAAAACAAGTGCTACTGTACCCTGACCCTGTTTATATTTCCTAATATTAAAACTATCCAAAATGACATGTTCATCTGAATATACACTGTGTGACCAATAATAAACAGACAAAACGTCTAAGACTGATGTTGAAGAGATTATAAGATTAAAAGCACATTAAAAACTACTGCTGCTGACTTTTTCACCATTTTAAATGGTTTTCCACCCAGTGGCTCATTAATAAAGTAATAATATCTCACTTCGAAACATGCTTTCCATTCTGATGTGGCCTTTTCCCTCTGGGGGGCGCTAAAGATTTAAGTTTAACTTGTGGCAAGAATTCATTTCACTTTAGATTTCAAAAAGGTAATTCATATTTCACGAGGAGCATTAAAATAATCACAAACATATGTATTGCAGTGGAAGATGTGTTTCTTTCTTTTTGTGTTTTTAAATTCTGGTGAAAGTCTATAAAGATCAATTGAGAACATAAAATAAAGGGCCTGTGGTGAAAGCTTTTTTTAAGACACATACAGAACAACCCACATCCTTTCATGTGGGGCAGACGGTCTGCAGCAGCTGCTTCCTGTTGGCTTATGTCTTATGTCTTTGACTTATGTCTTTGCACAGGGTGTATTGATGTGATGAAGGGTTGTCTTGATAAACTTGTGCACCTGCATTGATGGAGTGACTCGAGAAATGTCACAGGAAGTAATAGCCTAAAGGAAAGTTCCAGTGCTTTTCAAATGACTGCAAACTCTATAAGTGGAATATCTTTCAGCAACAATTTGTTAGGATGTTAGCCAATGTCTAGGTTTAAATTGCAAAGTGATATTTCAAATGATATTTCAACTGAAGCTATATTTGAAATGACTTTTAGGCAATTGTCTGTCATTTAATCAGTACCCCTTCACTTAAACTTAAACACAGAATATTGTAAATGCTTCAATAAGCTGACAGGAAAATTCAAAAGCTCTGACTTGTGGTGCAGGTGATGCTCAGAAGAGATTTTGGGAAACGTTGACTTAAGAATCTGTTGTTAGTTTCTGTTCCTCTTCGGCTGTCTATACGTTTTATATTCATTGTCTGTTAAATTATGTTAGATTACACATATTTTACATATTCTTGAAGAAAACTGCACCGTTAGGCTAGCTAATGGTGCCCTGTGCAGATTTCTTGTAAACAAACAAAAGTTATGTGCACATTCATTGCTACTCACCAGAACGCATTGTGTGTATTCTTGGATTCTTCCTTTGTCATAAAACATGAGCAAAGACGATTTTTTAAAAACATTTTTGGACATTTTAAATCCTCCGGTTTGCATCCATGATTACTAGCTTGCAGTCTTCTTCTTAACTTCATTTGATGTGTTTCTCGGTTGCTGCCACCTGTAGTTCAGGTGTCGTCGTGCACGAAACACACATTGGGGACTGTGGGGATTGTGTGTGTGTGTGTGTGTGTGTGTGTGTGTGTGACTTCCTGAACCCCAACCCTCCTGAGGTGTGACTTCCTGACATATTAACCTGCAGTGCTGTCTGGGTTCCTCTTTGTCACCACCCTGATGACCCTCGAAGGCCCATGTTGGTACACATAACAGTCCTTTCTGGGTCTGGTTTTGTGTGTGTGTGTGTGTGTGTGTGTGTGTGTGTGTGTGCGCATTATGCTTGCACGCACAAAGTGTTTCTAATGGACATCCTCTGAGGAAGTCGTGTGACAATGCAGCTACACAATGCAGCTAGTTAGACCAGAGGGACTGCTGGAGGTCTCAGGGTCTGATGTTCTCTGTGGGGTCTGAGGGGCTGATGAGGAAACCACTTCAAAACAAAGGGCCTTGGAAAAGCGACAGTCTGTCTGATACAAGATCTGAACAGGAACGATGTGTATGACATAATTATAAAGCAGCTCACTGACATCCATGTAAGCAGCTCTAAATGTATTGAGCACCCCAAATATTTAAGTGCTGATGGAAGACTACAGTATTAATATTACTCAAAGAATTCATTTGTGTGGGATTATACAGTGGTTACATAAAAAGAGGTCACCAGTGATGTTGATAGGTTTTCAATGTAGTGACAGGTGGTCATTTGAGGGGGTCCCCAGTAAAATGTGTGTTTTTCGAAAAATTGTAATGTTAAAAGTGTAGTGTGTGTGTGTGTTTAGTATTTGGCGGTATCTGGTAGTGAGGTTGCAGATTGCAACCAACTGAAACGTCTCCGTGTGTAGCAGAACTACGCAAAAACGTGAATGGCAATTTAGAGCTAGAGTTTGGTTTGTCCGTTCTGGGCTACTGTAGAAACAAGGCGGCCGGCTCCGTTAAGAGGACCCGCTCCGTATGTAGATATAAATGGCTCATTCTAAGGTAACAGATACTGAAACTGTTAAATGAATACATAAATGTACCTGAAAAGAGGCTAACCTTACAAATCAGTAAATACTGAAATCAGCATAATCGCAGCAGTCTTGAAAAAGTTGATTTGGCAAACTTGTTAACAAACAGTTATGTTATTTACACATCCAGTGAAAAAGTAACAATACCATCATTCATTTTGGAGTTGTGTTCCTGGCCACTGGGCAAATGTAAGTCCAATATTCACTCTCCTTATAGCTCTGTTTTGGTCTCCACCAACTCCTAAGGGAGATACCTGCTTAATGCTCCACTAAGTGAGCATCCAGTGGGTTTTTAGAGAAATAATTAAGGTTAGTTTTGACGGGTAGGGAATTTGATACTGTTGTTTTAGGGGAACAAAACAGATAGCGACTTTTAAAACAGTTTTCGCGTATCTCTAACTGTTAAAAACATTAGAAAGTGAGTTAGCAATGACTGCCTGCAAGTGTATATGAATTACGTTCTTGCAGGAGTAACAGATCAAATTGTTATAGACAGGAAGTACATTTAAACTTCCTGTCTCTTGTGGCTTTTTGACTTCACAGAAAGGTCCTTGATTATTTTAAGACATTACAGATAACGCTGCTCCAAGCAAGACCTTACATTACGAGAATCTCACCACAGAAAGTGCATCTCTCTCAGCTGCAGACAGTCTTTTGTTCGTCAGCACAACACAATCACTCCAAGACGGTCCTTCTGCAGTCGTCATTGACTGACTGAAGTAAAGTGTGTGTGTGTGTGTGTGTGTGTGTGTGTGTGTGTGTGTATGTGTGTGCTCTGAGATGGCCAGAGTCAGGAAGGCACCGGTCATATGGCCTCTTATGAAATATGTATACAGTTTGGGGAAAGGGATACACAGCTGTGAGGGTTTACTATACAAAGCATTTTCACCTGTAAGGTCAAGTCTCCTTAAATGTGGGACTGAATCATGACAAATCCCTCAGCACACATTCATTTACTAGGAAACATCACAACAAAGTGAATGTCTCCATGAGGACTGATTCTGCTTTCATAGTTTCTTCACATCTATTTTTAACAATGTGATTAAGTCACAATAAGTGACATTACTACGTGAAGTATTGTTCTCTTTAAGGGAACTAGGCCTAATCTCATGGCATGGCTACAATTTGATTTTTTTCAAAAGAATAAAGAAACACTGTCAGATATCAGGGTGTATGTTGGTCGTAATATTATACATATATTGCATATTATTTTACAAAGCTCTTGTTGCCAGATGTAACCAATGTCTTGTGGTCAGTATCGCATCTCTTCATCCATTTTCTTTTGAAAGAAACACCCCGCAGCAGCTGCAGGAAATGTGGCTTGAGAAACTGAACCGTCGGACAGGATTTGTGTACGTGTTCTACACCATTTTCACCACAAAGGTGAGAGGGGAATTCATTCATTGAAGCACAAAAGTTAAAAAGCCTTTATGGTGGTGAATATGTCATTATTTTGGTGACCCATTTCATCCAACCTGTGCATCATATGCTTTGTGTGTCTCCCTTGTTCTCATATGGTTTTTATATTTCAGGAGCAGCTGTAGAGCCAGCTCAATGCTCAA